ACTAAAAGTCCTGTCTTTTATCGGTCGATATTACACGGAATTAACGTGCACATTTATTGATATCAACGTGCATTTTACGTTTTTATGTTCTTATCAAACTTTTTATGTGCTTATCGAACATTTTTTAAGATTCGCGAAAGTCGTGTATTTTGTGTAAATTCAATGGCATCGCAGACAACAGTTGGTGCAGGTTCGTCAAAATTACAGTTTCGATAATGCACGGCGAAACAGAGCTATTTATATAATGCTTATAGTTATACATAATTGCATATAATATAATTGATTAGACCTCGTTGCTATTTTTACCTTGAATTAGTCATAAAGACGAACAACGTTTACGCATATCGATAACGATACCTTTTACATGACAGAAGAACCTTTAACTGCGTCTTTAACGTTTCCATAAATTTCAATTCTTTTTTTCTTTTTTTTTTTAATTATCTAGGACTTCTGACTATGACTCACTGGCAGTGTCATCTAATTCAATAAATAGAATAAAATAAAAGTTTTGCCTAAGCGAGTATCTTCAATATTATACGCGATAAGCAAATTATACGCAATCCTAAAGTGCATTTTAGAATTAATCGATGGCACGTGTATTGTACAATATATATACACGAATGAAAAATAGCACACTGATAACATCACGATACAGCGTGCAGTATCTTGTCACGCGCTATCGACCGGACATAAACAACTTGATGAACTTGATTCGATTAATGGCGGTGCGTTTTTGCAATGTGTCTAGCCACTGGTGTGTGGCCCGTATTAATTTAGGGTCTACCAATTTAGGTATTACGAGTCACGCCAAGATATATGCATAATATCGATTGAGTCACCAAACTATTTGTGAAGTATGTACCCGCTGCATTAAATGGTTCATGTAGGAGTCGTCGACAATTTCGGTATCGACCGTCATGCCTAACAATGGCCCACAATGTTGCGGTCGCAATTACGATGATAGTGGCGAACTCGTAATTGCGTATGATGATAAGATATATCGTGCACGTATGTACGTATGCATATCGAATGTACGCAATAGATTAGGAAAACTGGAACATTTGGAAACGATGGTCATTTAGTTAATTACCGGGCATATTGTGGCTATCGGTGGCTTAACCTTGGCAACGGAACCGGATAGTCATTGCGATTAATTTATGACGGAAAAAGCGCGGTATAGTGCCCTACATGCGCTACAGCTACGCGACGATGTGTTTCGAACCTTACGTGTAAGCAGTTAACGAGATCTTTTTACCGATGCGATACACGTCATATCCGAGCTCTCCTCCTCGGGAATCATCCGCGGTGGATCATTAGAAGTCTTCCGGTTCCGCGGCAAGTGGGACAAAACACCATAAACTACATATTATTAAGCAGCGACCATAAAACACTCCCGCTGAGAGCGCGTATATACGCCCCGCTTGATTTCAAATCCTTGGAAGGCCTCGCTATTCACCTTGATCTGAGAGCGCGATGCCGTGTCGTATATATTTATTGAGACAGTAAACCGCAATTATGCCCACCATAACCGACTAACTAACCGCCGCGTCGTCTTCGGCGCCGATCACGAACTTTTTCGATCCGGTCTTCTCGCTTTCCTTGCCTCCTCGCCAGCTTTTTTTCCCCCCCCCCGATCTTATTTTCTTTTGACGTCGTTGGTAGACGAAAAAAAATTGTTAGTGTGAGACTATTGGCGCTCAATAAACGATTAATCTTTCCGCGATTAATTTACAAGCTTGTACAAACTAGATTGACAATTTCTTATTAATGTAAAAGAAGAAATGTATTGCAGAGGATTCTATTCGTGAAATTATCGTGACGAGTTAATAAAAAGAAATTGATCAAAAACTATATTTTTATTGTATAAACAGAGAATACGTGCAAGTTTCAAATATTCAGATTACGTTTTAAATTAATGTCCTTTGATATTGCTACTATAATCTATATGCAATACTTGTTTAGATTTTTGTATTTTTTTAATTTTATAGTAGCAAGAATGAACAATTTGCTCACCATTATTTTTCTACGTCACGGTGAGGTCGGTGAACTTATTGACACGAAAAATAAGAGTAAACAGCCACAGGACAAATTCGACGTATAATGTCACACTAACGACGAGATAGTCCGAGGAAACACGAGCCTCACCGCCGCGCCGAGACGACCCGCGGCTCCGCTCGGCTTCGTCCAACGGATTTAATGATTATTACCGCGCCGATGATTGCGCCATAAAACAACATATTGCTGTACCTGGAACTCCGCGGCGATGGAACTTCAGCTAGCTCGTATAACCCCTGGGCGATAATAGAGCTGCCCCGGTTTCCGGATATTGTGCAGGCTACTTGTAGAGCATGAAGAGCGCGTTATTCGTAACGATTCTACGCCGCTAATGCGAATCGAAACGTGGATCCGTTATAGAGCGCGATACGATACGTGTAACGCGCCAGGCCATTAGTCGTCGGGCTGGCACGTCGTCGTAGGTGCTGCAGCAAACGGTCGCCACCAGCTCCGGGAAATCCTCGACACTTTGCCAACGGCGTGTGTCTTGCTCCTTTGTTGTATGTACCGCGACTGCGGTGCACATTCTCTCTTCACTCCCATTAATTAACTCGCACGGCGTACACGGCCGCTCTCCTGTTTTAAGAATGAGGAGCGCGGTACCCCTCGCGCTGTATCGCCACTCTACAACATCCGTTCTGCATTAATTGAATACGCTTGCATTTACACGCGATAGCCTACTCGCGGCCTTTGCTTACGCGCGTGGCTAAAATTCATTTCTCTGAAAAATTTCAGATTTATTCCGTCCTTCCAACGACGCCGACGGTAGAATTTGCCGCGTCCGTTTGCGTGACACGCGGAAATATAAAGGGCCGAATAAAAAAGCATGCTGATGGATTCCATGTATGTACAGTGCAGTACGAATTAGATTATTTTCCATGTTGAATATCTTGTAATATTACTGTTGTTTGCAAGTGTAGAAAAGTTTTTATTCACGTGGATTATTGCAGAAAAAAATCCTTAATGTTAAATATATGATAGTCCTTAAGGTATGATAAATTAATTAAATATTTCAAGTGGCAGATTTATATTAAATAAAGTTCTTTAGAATTAAGTAATTCAAACGGGATTATCTTAGACAATTAAGGCATGATAGTCTTGAAAACCATCACATTTGAAACGTCGCAAAACTTTCTGCGGAATGTAGTCTTGACATTAAAACAATCAGCACTGTCGCTCGCTCGCCGAGTATCTGGCCAGAAAGGACACGAAAGCGACCGGAGTCGTTCGATAAACAATGTCGCCACAGAACAAAAGTCAGAGGTAACGACGGAGGAGCGATCCATCGCATGTTTAACGAAGCGCAGCCGGCGGGTATTGCGGCGGACAAAGAGCGGCAATATCGCGGGAAGCTATGACCGAAGGAACGAGAACGGACGGCGGCGGCTAAAGAGGGCATCGCCGGTTGTAGAAACAGTCGCAGTGCCACAAGAAACTGACTAACTGGTAATTAGCATATTCCCGGAATATTTCGGTAGCACGCGATGTTCCGGCCGCTCGTGCTCTGCGCGAGGTCTCGCGATCGCTCGGATTCCAATGAGAGAGAACTTTGTTAAATCGCGGGACAGATGCTGGCGTACAGCTTATTGTATGCGCTATTCGTGAATTCCAGCGAAGTGATCAATCCGTAGCGGAAAGTAACTTTGAGGGAAAGAATATGAATGAAATATTCGACAGAATGCAATATGTATGCGCAGATAATAATTTATATTAACATAGGGATTATTTTTTAATCTCAAATAACGCGTTTTACTTCCGACAATGTTTTGCCTGCCAAGGAAAATGCGAAATACAAAAAATTTTTACTTCAATTTATAATCCATAAAATTACTTCGAAAAGGAATTTTAATTTCCGTAATAATTCAGCACATATTTCTCCAATCTGTACGCCCACGTTGATCGCTTAGTTACTAATTATATTTTACCGACGAAACATGGCCGTAGATTTCACAAGAGCCTTCGGACTGACGCCTCCTTTCAACGGAGGATTGTCCCCTCTTTGTCTCATCGATGCAAGCGATCTTGCAAAACCTGTCGCCCGTAGATGTACTGCTTTGCTTCGAGGGATAAACCGTCTTTCACCGACCGTAACGATTATCCATGCGTGTAATTGGACCTAATTGGACATCGATCTACGTACGATCTTCCTGCGTTGTCCGTCCCGCGACTTTGATCCACCACCGTCGGGGGTAAGGCGAATTACTTGCGACGCTCGATTATTACAGAACTAATGATACGATGACTCAATTAGACGACGACGACGACGACGACGACGTACCCGCGGAATTCAGACGCCTCGGAATCAAATCCTACGCTCGTACATGCCATTTACGCCTTCGGCTTCACGCAGAGATTTCGTAATTCATCTGATGTAACGCGTCGTGCTTTATCCTGCTTCCCGATTTATTTATCAAAGAGATATGAGTCTTAGAACATAATCATATAGAAGAAGCAAGCATTAGTATTAATTTTAATTAATTTCTCTCTTACCAGACACTTTCGAAAAAACATTGACGAGTCATTTCTTTTAATTGAATGAAATTTTGTTGTTGTAAGATTTATTAGAAAAATGAGATACTTACCTTATAAATTATTGCACATATAGTATACACAAGGAGAGACAGAAATCAAAAGAAGTCGAAGGTAAAACTTAAAGAATGCAAATATATACTTGCATTAATTGTAACGTTTAATTCATGTCACATCACTGTCACGGTATATCATTACGCAGAAATTTATACGCAAGATTACTCCCCAGTGTAATTGCCATTTGTATACGCGTAGGCGAGACGGATAGCGCTCTTTCGCACGCGTGGAAGAACATAGCTCGAATCTAACGAGCAAATACAGATCGTATCAACCATTATGGCTGCTCTATTACGGTGATTAAGCTGTGCTCGCGTATAATCGTGCGAGTCACGGAGTATTGTCCGCGAAGTGTCGCCGTACTATCTCGTCTCGTCTCTCGAATGGAGGTGTGACGTATCGTCTACAATCTCTTTTCAAAGTATCCCGCATGTGAATTAATGCAAAGTCCACTCCACCTTTATCCAAATGATTTTCAATAAAATCGAAGGATTTCTTTACGTAAAATGTTACAGAAAATCTTACACGTATACTTCAACACGTGATATTTATTTATTGGCAGAAAGTTTAACAACTTCTTACAGATCGAAAAAATTAAGTTGACAATTACATTTTTCACCGAGTAGTATAATATACGTGCAAAGTCGACAAAATGTTATCTTGAAAATGCAATTTTGACCGTAAACGATGAATAGCGTTTAGCGCAGGTACTTGTCTAGCCGAACGTCGTTTTGATAATTGAGGATTGCGTTCCTCACTTTCGACGTTTCGTGAGCTCAATTCGCTACTGGATTACCGAAGCGGCCGCTTATTTGCCGCAAAAGGAACGAGATCCTTCGGTTCGATTTACAAGCCGATAATTTCGTGGCTCGCGCTCTTCTGGGAAAAACGTGGTGACCGATCGCTTTCACTCCGCGCCATTTACGATTGGTTCAAGGTTCTCGTTCTTTACTTTTTTTCTGTCCCCGTGCTGCACCTGCAACATGAAAAAACACGGAAACGTGATTACGATGCTGGGGCTGCGTCAGATCCGACGTCAATAAGAGCCATCACGCGAAACGCGCAGAGGGTGGAAAAAGGTGAAGGGAGACTCGTATAAGAGAGAAATACTTGAGTAAAGATATTCGGATGGGAGTTCGAATTTGCTTTCAATTTATGCGTATTACTTCCAAGAATTCAGAAGCGATAAACTTAAATGCAATATATTTAAATGCGATAAGTAAATAATTACAATGTTAAAGTTAAATATATGTCATTTGTAATTTTTGATATATTTCTGATATAATTATATAAATTTCATAGGCAAGCCGGTACACTAAAAAAAGAAGGAAACTTATCATTACATGTATACACCGTCCTAATATCTCGTTTTACGTATTCAATACGGTAATTAAGTTGCGGCTATGCGCAATTTCGCTCAGTAATTGCGCATTTCTTTATCTCCAGGACGATTAATCAGATTCTACGTTGCAGAATTAGTGGTCGCGAAAAAAAACTCTTACGTCCACGGGAGAAAATTAACGTATGTACGCGCAACGCGCTCGCTCGCTCGCTCGCTCTCGAGCGCGCGCGATCGCTCGGCGCGGCTCTCGTGCTGGCCATGCGCGGTAAAAAGAAAATGCGACTTTGAGGGAAAAACGTCCGAGCCGATATGGTTTGCACTGGAAACGAAAGGTGGCAGGTGATATGGCACGCGATACGAAAATTACGGTGGCATCGATCAATACATGCAAGAATCGACAAAGGGGCAGCAGGCGCATCAATGGCGGCGATGCTAATTTTCAGTGCCCCGCTCGCACGACGCTTTAGCGTTTACCGAGAAACCTTGCATGCGCGTGTGTTAGCTTCCCAAAAAAAAAAAAAGAAAAAGATTCCGCGGAGAAGTAAGTGAAACCAGCGTGGATCGACCTGACCACGTGCGTGTCCTTACAATGGCATCGCTTTTTTTTTAGATTTATAATGGCCGCTGATAAACGCCGCTGTTGTATTCGCCCCTTGATCGGAATCGCGGTTAGAATGTTTTCAGCGGCGGTACGGCACGCGAAGGTTGCACTTTAATAATTAAACAAATTGTCTGTAGAATTTATTAGCCGCCCGCGCCGGCTCCGCGCGTTAATGAATAAACGCGCAATGGATTAACGTTCCCTAATTTAATAATTACACGGATCGATCCTTAATTCACGATAATTGTATGTCCCGATAGTGGTGAACGATGGCAGCGCTTCCTATATACATTTAATTTGCAATTGAATACCTTTCTGCATAGGGGAAAGGGAAGGGAGTTGCAAGACTGCGAGTCCGATAATGCCGCTCGCGCTACAATACTCGGGATACGATTTCGCAATTACGCGAAAGCGATAGATCGCCAATTCGAAACGACGGCGAAGAGCTGATAAAGACACCATTTTATCCTCGTGTACAATTTACGATTAAACTCACCGATGATAGACCGGGCGAAAATTGCGACCCGATCGAATCGCGGGGCACGTGGCACGCAAGCAACGCATTGTCACGTGTTACGAATCATGCTATCTGCGACAAAAATCTGGCGCTGATTTCTCTGCTTATGTTATACAAACTCTATCTAAATCCATACTAGACTTTTCAATAAAAAATGGCTGATACCGCGTTAAAATCAACAAGCCGCGGCACACGTGTACGATTCTCTTTGATATTATCCAAATAGACCACGCTACTTTCCCTCCCTACCCTCTCCCCCTCCCCGACCACAGTGCGCAATATGAAAGATTTGCACGTGGCAAAGGATTCGTATCGATGATCTAAATCGTATGGTAAAACTCACTGTGCAATATCCAGGTAGAAACTAGCGCATGATGATTATTGTTGGACATTTTAGCGAAGGATCGTTTAATGCCAAGTGTACTTGAATATGAAATGCATCGAGAAATGCGCACCAAGTAATAGCGACTGCCGATGCAGCGGCAGTGCTCACCCATATCAGAAATTACTTCTGACCGAAGCGTGCGATTTGCCGTGGAAGGGGTGTCAGTGTGCAAAGCCGCTCTACTCAACTCCGCGTCTAGGGGGTTGATCGTATGCCACCCTCGCGGAGAAACCCCTTTTCCATTACACACGTCCGCCGCGGTTATCCTATAGTCGCGTTGCAAATTACTGTCCGAACGGATTAACGGAAGGAAGGAGGCTTTGTTGGCTTCTGCTAATTGGCCATTTAAATTTTACGTCCCGCGCGGCGGCGATGTATAACGATCGGGTTTATCGGACGCCGATGTTGTCGCGGCATTTTAATTATCGTCTTATAGACTCCCGTCCCTCAATTCTCCCGACGATATCGGACAAAAGAGTTTTGTAATTTCTCGCGAGAAAATTGCGGGGTACGCGGAAAAGTGGGAGATTCCTCCCTCGGAGGAATCTGAAAAACTCAACTCGACAACACCCATCTATTGTCTGCGATTAATAATTTGTAATTAATAATGACAGCTAGCAAAGGTATCATTAAAATGTGTAATTTCTCTAATACAATATTTTGCAAAAAGAAATTTACAATGCAAAGATTTTTAATCTTAGATAGGGACTATATAACTTTATACAATTTATACAATGACGTCGCTATTGTTTATTAAAAAAATTTTTTTGAAAATCTTTTTTCTCCCCATGTTACTAACACTTTTGCTTTATTTTCTAATTTTATCATTTTTTCCTTTTACAAAAAATAATTCTCGCTTCATGTGCACTTCTCATCCGGTTTGGAATCAGAGGTTCGAAATGCGAATTTCGGCGAGTGCAAGAATGACGAAGACACCAAAAGCATGCGGCTGCGAAAGGAAGAAGAAAAAGAAAATGCGAAGAAGGAAGAGGAGGTGTGGAGGAAGAGGAAAAGAAGATGGTAGAAGAAGGAGAAGAAATAGCCTAACGCCGATCGAAGAGAGGGAGCCCCACCTCTTGCGAGAGTAATGCCGTGCCGGGACAGGCCCGTCGAATGTTAAGGAGACGCGGGGAGCGAGCATAAACCTCGTCTAACCGTACCTCACCTCCACTCTCGGAGGCCGCCGCGCGGCCGGCGATCCCGTGTATGATTTCCAGCCGGTCTGCCATTGGTTGGCGGGTCCGTGCGCGGTTACCGCCTTCGCCATTAAACAAAACGCGCTGCCCGAAGAGGGATCAAATTAAAAATCGAAGGGGTTCGGGCCCTTTGCCAGCGTGTTTTCGGCCTTGCCACGGCATTGTTGCGATTCGTATGCTCCTTTTGCGAGCATCTGCTTGTTTGGCTACGGCTACGAATCGCACCTGCAATTGTTCCCCCACACACGTGGCCGCGAGGAGAAATATTTTCCTCCATTGATAAAGTGTCACGATAAACAAACGTCATAACTTAATAATATAATTTATATAATTTCATAATAATATGATTTTATTAATTTACAATAATGTTATTGACAATAATACTTAAATTTTCTGAGATAATTAAATAATTGCGGATATAACTTTATTTTTATTTAATTTTATCTCATCGTCAGTTTATATCTTGATTGCATTCGTGATGTTCACTTTTAAAATAGCTCTTCAGCTTGTGTTTCCAACTATAATTCGAGATATATGGACGGTTTACGCTACGTCGCATATACCATCGTGATTGAAAGTGCAGGTTGAGTCGGTCGTGACCAATGCATTCGGAGCATAACGCGATTACAACCGCGTACATCATATACACGGCACGTCTTGAAAAATTCATGTTGGGGCATTCACAGAGCACAGCTTCATTCATATTGTACTTACAATTAGTAATTTAAATACATCCCGTTCAGCCTGAAATCACCCACTCATTTTGTATTTACAAAATGTTTTACAAAAGGCCTTTTCTATGTGTCCGCGTAATTTCTTTTTATTTAATTGTTTAACATTTTTATTTATGCAAAATTTTATTCTTCGCCTAACGAGGATAGCCTACACTGACTTTTACTGATAGATATAAATGGACCCAATAAATATCGAATTCTCATCGAAGATGATCGGAAAAAGGGGGACGCCTGCACTGCTATCGCGCTGAGAAAAGAACGTGATACCGATATCTCGGTATCTCTTAGGTTAAATCGTGGGGTTAACTCTCCTCCGCTCTCTCCTCCTCTTCCTTCGCGTACGATGCGCCGGGTCTAGGGAACAGGAGGTGGCGGAGGAAGAGGGCCCAGCATTGTTCGCGGACAATGTAAGCATGTCCGGAACAAAGAGCGGTAATCGACCTGTGTAACATTTATAACGTAATGGGAGGGCCCCTCTCTGGCCCATAATAATATCAATTACTGGGCTCGCGGTGGAGCGAGGGAGACACTACGAGGATGGAGAACGCGTCGGAAGGAGAGCCGGCGTGGTTGCAGGCGGGCGCGGGTGGAGGGCCTTAGATCGAGGGGAGCGGATCGGCGGCGACGCGGATTCGCAGATCTGTCGGGCAGAAAATTGACGACGTGGCCCTCTCTGCCTCCTCCGGCCGACCAGCTGTCTTCGGGGATCGTAAGAGGACGCCGTGACGCACTCGTTAGGCCTCGTAATCGGAGAGTAACAAGATTCGCGTGTGAAGCACGACGACTTCGTGATTCCTGATTGCCCCAGTGGTATCCTGATAATACGCTATGGCTACCTAGATTTTTTCGATAATGATCTCGCACGATGGCCTCTTAACAAGAAACGCGTGTTAACTCGACCTTTCACTTCACGTCAGATAGTACAATCCGTGTTACGTTGTATATCTCGTGTATGTCATTATCGATTCCAAGTTATTCTCCGAAAACGTTAATCGATTTTATAAGATTTTTGCGCGGTTTTTTTTTTTGTAATGCGTGCACATTACAACTTTGATAAATTACTATCTTCAACAGGAGATTATATTAAGGAGAGCGTTGTATTAATTAAGGCAGAAACTTGGCGTCGATATTTTTTCACGTATTCTTGTAAAGATACGGGAATTATGTGCGGAAATTAGAATACGATACTACGAAGATCACG